TCGAGGCCTGGACGGGCGATCGGCTCATTTCTCTGATGTCCCTGGTGCCTGCTGACACCGCGTTCGCTGGATGCGCTTGCACGCTTGTGCGTTGGAGTGGGGAAGGGAAGGTGATTTTTCACGCGCGAAAGTGCTGGCAAATGACGAAGCATCAAACTGTTGCGATGGCACCTGTCCATGAACGGGGAACGGGAAGGGAGCAGGGATGATGGGGGGGCTGAGAGGGCGGAAGGGGGGAGTAGGGGGGCAGACTCGGGGAGAAGGTCAAGAGGAAGGAGCGGGCGAATGAGGATGGCCATCGGATGCCACGAAAGTGGAGGTCGACGAAAAAGGCAGAGGGGGGAAGGGAGAGAAAGAGAGAGAGAGAGAGAGAGAGAGAGAAAAAGGGTGACAGAGGTACGGTAAAGACAGGCGGGCTGGCGTGAGCGCAGCGAGCGCATGGAAAACGCCGTCTGGATGTTTTTTGGGGGGCTGTCCGGGCCCTCTTGGGCCGTCCTGGGGCCTTCTTGGGCCGTCTTGGGGAGCTGGGGCCCTCGAGAGGTCTTCTGAAGCCATCTTGAAACCTCTTGGGAACCTCCAATGGCCTTCTTGGGGGTCTCCCGTGGCTTTCGCGGGTCTCTCTTGGGAGCCTTCTGAAGGCATCTTGGGCTTCTTGTGGGCAATCTCGGGGCTCTCTGGGGCAGCCTTGGGGCCCTTTTGGACCGTCTTCAAAACCTCTGGGGGCCTCTTGGGCCGTCTGTAGGCGATATCGGGGGCCCATCGGGCCGTCCTGGACGCTGCGAAGACCCAAAAAGCGGAGATGCTAAAAATATACATTTTGCCGAAGCAATGTGGCGTCTTGGGGGCCTCGTGGGCCGTCTTCGGACCATCGATGTTCCTCTTGGAGCGCTCTTGTGCTGTCTTGGGTCTCGCTTGCGCCTCTCCGATGGCCCCTCTGATCGCTTCGAGTCTGCTCGCAAGGCCCGGCAAAGCGCCCTGGGAGGCCCAGAAGGGCTGGCGGACCTTTTTTCCAAGGGGGTCCCTGGGGGAGGGTCCGGTTTAAGGTGTGTGTGTGGGGGTTTCTGGGTAATCGGAGGTGAGGGGGTGAGATCGAAGTGGAACGGAGAGCCCCCCTACCGGGAAATCGGTTTCGGTTTCGTGTTCGTGCGTGCCGTGCGAAGTTGCGTGGGCGGGCGAGAAATAAGTCTCCTGTAGCTGAGGCGCGGCCTGACCAAAAGTCTCCCTTCCGGCAATCGGTGCCCCGCGGTGTCCCGCCGGCGTCCCGCTCGGGGGCCGGTGGCGCGCGGTGTCCCGCCAGTGTCCCGCCGGTGTCCCGTCGGTGTCCCGATGATGATGATGATGATGATGATGATGATGTTGATGATGTTGAAGATGATGATGATGATGATGGTGATGGTGATGGTGGTGATGATGGTGTCTCGATGATGACGGTGATGGTGATGTTGACGATGTTGTTGATGATGATGATGATGATGGTGATGGTGGTGATGATGATGGTGCCCCGATGATGATGATGTTGATGATGCTGATGTTGCAAATGATGATGATAATGGTGCCCCAATGATGATGAAGATGATGTTGATGATCATTATAATGTTGATGATGATCAAATGATTCGATGATGGTGACTATGATGATGATGATGGTGTCCTGATGGTAACGATGAGGTTGATGATGATGCTGCTGATGAGGATGGTGATGACGAGGGTGTCCCGATGATGATAATGATAGTGCTGATGACGATGATGGTGTCCCGATGATGATGATGTTGATGATGAGGATGATGATGATGATTTTGATGATGGTGGCCCAAAGATGGTGATGATGCTGATGTTGATGATGATGGTGTCCCGACGATGTTGATGATGATGGTGATGATGGTGGTGACGATGATGATGGTGTTCCGATGATTACGATGTTGTTGATGATGATGTTGCTGATTCTCATGATGGTGTCCCGATGGTGATGATTATGTTGCTGATGCTGTTCATGATCGTGATGCTGGGGTTGTGATGGTGATGGTGGTGTTCCAATGATGATGGTGATGGTGTCCCGATGATGATGATGTTGATGCTGATGGTGGCGATGATGATGTCCCGTTGATGATGAAGGTGATGGTGATGATGATGTTGATGAGGATGGTAATGAGGTGATGATGATGATGGTGACCCGATGATGCTGCTGATGATGATGTTGATGACGTTGATGACGATCATACTGATGATGATGACGTTGCTTGTGATATCGATTGTGATATCGATTGTGAAATCGGTAGTTGAACGGAATGTGAGATCGATGGTGATATCGATAGTGAGATCGATAGTGAAATCGATTGCGAGATCGAAAATCAGATCGATTGTGAGATCGATCGAATGAAATAGATCGAGTGAAATCGATTGTGGGACCGATCGAGTGAGCTCGGTACAGCGAGACCGATCGTGAGATCGATAGTGAGATCGATAGTGGTACCGATCGAGTGAGACGTTGGTTCCCCCCCCAAACCTCCTTATCAACCGAAGGGTGGTTGTATAGGTAAACATATAAAAACAATGATATTGTTTTAACAAAGGAAATGTGTCGTGCGAGCTGGAAAATGGGAGTGTGCCTCGGGAGGGGCGTCGGTTCGATCTCCTTGGCCGGGACATCTGGGTGCTGGAACATCGCCCCCTTTTCATTTAGCTCCCGCCAGAAAAGGGGTGGGATCATGATGCATGGTTGTATATGGTTGTGGCATGTAGAAGCATGGCGCTTGAGGGAAAGAAAGCCGATTAACCAATTACTTGAATGGTTGATGATTGATTGATGAATTTTCGTTGCTGCGTTCTGTTTTCTGCTCCAGGACTATTTCTGAACCGTTGTGTGTGTTCCAATAAAAACGGTCCCCTCTAGGTTCGCACGTTTTCTTTACAACAATAAATTTGAAATCGCCGAGCTGTGACCCTGGCCCCCGGTTCGCATCAACAAAAGCGGCTATAGATATACATATATGTATATGTATATACATATATACATATATATATATATATATATGTACTCTTAAACTTATTTTTTATAGATAATAATATTCTTTGTTTACTATTTTTTATTCTTTCCATTATTCTTCTTATTATATATATATATATATATAAATATTACACAAGGAAAAAAACAAATTGTTTGAAAATCGCACTTTCGCGCGGGACTTCTCACAACTAATCCTGGAATCGCGCTCTCGCGTGGGACGTCCTCACGGTTGATTCAAAATCCGCGCCCTCGACGTTCACGAATCGTGCTCTCGCTGTGGTTGTTCTCGCGATTCACTTGGGAATCGCGCTGTCGCTCGAAGGCTCCTCGCGATTCATGCAGTACTCACGCTTCAGCAGCCCACCTGCTCGACCTGGCCAACTGGGCCCGCTTTCCGACCAGCCCGTTACGGTCTACCCGCCCGTTCAGCCCGTCTGGTTCTGCCATGTGTTTCCTGCTCCTCGCCTCCCTCCTGGGAATCCCGTGCTCCATCCTTTTCCCTTCTCCTTCCATCTGTCCTCTCTTCCCTGGTTTTAGAGGTTGCAACAAGTACGCGCAGCAAGTAAGGAAGATATGCCACCAGAGGGGTACGATCGAAGACGAAGAGGGCGGGTATAGCGGGTTTGGGATAAGCGTGCTGAATGGCACGCGAGCATGTAAAAGCGAACAGTCTGAAACTGTCTGTTGTTGTTGTTGTTGTTGTTGTTGTTGTTGTTGTTTTAGTTGTCGTTGTCGTTGCCGTTGTTGTTGGTCTCATTATTGTTGTTGTTGTTCCTGCTGCTCTTGTGATTGACGTCGTTGATGTTGTTGTTGCTGCTTCTGCTGTTGTTGGTCTCCCATTCTTGAAAATCACTCATTGCTGATCCCTCTCACTGGTGCACATAATGTTTAAATCAAAATGCCCCTCGGGGTTCGCATCCGGTCGTTCTCTCATACTGTGTTGTTGGCCCCCGGGCTATAACAACAACGGCTCCCGCCTGATACGTCCTCGTAGTGTATTCCAAAATCGCGCTCTCGCGGGGGACTTCCTCAAACTTATGCAGGAATCGCGCTCTCGCGTGGGACACCCTCGCAATTTATTCAGACGCCGCGCCCTCGACGCTCAGGAATCAAGCTGTCGCTGCAGCCTTTCGCGCGATTTCCTTGCGAATCGCGCTATCGCTCGACACTTCCTCGCGAGTCATGCAGGACTCACGCTTCAGCAGCCCGCCGGCTCGACCTGGCCAACTGGGCCAGCCTTTCCGACCCGCCCGCTAGGGTCTGCCCGCCCGATCTGCCCATCTGGTTCTGCCACGTGCTTTCTGTTCCTAGCCCCCCTCCTGCTAATCTCTCTCGTGCTCCATCCTCCTCCCTCCCCCTTGTCCCTTCCCTCCATCCGACCTCTCTTCCCCTAGGGTCTGCACGAAATACACGTTGCAGGTCTCCTGCTGATCTCTCTCGTGCTCCATCCTTTTCCCTCTATCATTTTGACGTTGTTGTTGTTGTTGTTGTTGTTGTTGTTGTTGTTGTTGTTGTTGTTGTTGTTGTTGTTGGACGCCACTCGCTTACGCGCAACAGGCGTGCCCTGGCAAGGAGTGGCCCGCAGCGCGCGGCCAGCCGATCGCTGCAGGCGGGTGCGACGGCCGCCGCCCGCGTGCCTGGGCACGGCCGCCACCCTCCGAGGCGCCGCGCGCCATGGGCCACCGCGCCGCAGGGGGCTGCCCCTCGCGCGCAACCGGCGCGCCCTGAGACCCGATGCCACGAAGAATCCAGCACCGCAGAGCACGAACTCGACCGGAGCCCTGGACCCCCCCTCCCCGTCGCTCGGACGTCCATTCCCTGTGTTTTTTTCGGTTTCGTGCGTGGTTTTTTCGCAAGATGATCCAATATGCTCCTTCATAATCCCCGCCGAGAAAGAGTGCACACGTCCCAGCGATACCGTCTTGCTGTGGCACTCCTCGCGCCGGACCGATCCGTGAGGGTCCTGGGGCCCGACGCAAGGCACAGTCGCCCGTTGCGACTGCAAAAATGCGACGCCAGGATCGCAGGGCGTGGCCAGCTCCGAGAGGTCCACTTGCCCTGGGAGGTGCCGAGGGAGACCCTGAACGAGAACGAGGATGGGACGTTGGCTGGTTGGGACGCGATCGAACAACGTGTGAACTGCTCCTGGCTACGACTCTCGAGCAGCAGCAAAACAGTCGCCTCTGCAGACTAAGGGGGAAGATGAGCGGGGCGGGGGCGCAGACAAAGGGGAAGAGGGGGGTGGGACTCCTCCCATCGCAGCGCCTCGCCTCATACCCTGCTCCTGGTCCGAAAGTGGCCTGCGTGGAAGTTCGCACTGCCAGCCCCGAGCTGGAGGGGATGAGTCTCAATCGCTGGAGCAAGTGCGCCACATCCTCTGGCGGGGGCTTGTGGCAAGGAACAACGAGAGCACGACTATGTCGGATGCTGATCGGTCCCTTGCCGCTTCGGCGGATCGGTTGTCAACGCGCACTGCAATTTTGAATCATGGATTGCCCTCGAAAGGTCCAACGAGGATGGCTGCCTGAATTGAAAACGACCGCTCGACGTGTACAGCAAGCTAGTGAATACGGCCAGACATCTGCCACGGAAAACACAACGTGCCCACTTGCGCACCAGCGTCCAGCGATAGCCAGCACTGACAGCCGTAGAAATGTCCACACTACTCCTCGTTCAAATGCCCAGCAACTTTGACAATTTCACCCAATGACCAAAAGTCAACGGTAGGGAAATTTACCTGATGGTCCCACTGATCGCGGCAATCCAAGACTCGCTTCTTCAAACTCGAATTCTGGTTTGCGTCGACTGCGCAGATCTCACACGGCAACGGGGTCGATACGAAATGGTTGGCGACGATCAGGCGGTAAGCCGCCTGTCCAAGTGAACCGGGTGACTGAGACGTCTCAGCGAAATCTGTGATCTCGACTTCGGTTTCAACGCTGTCTAACGAACAATCGCCTCTCATCACGGTCTCATTGTCGTATGCGTACGCTGTTGTCGCCATGTATTCTCTGCTCCTATGCCACCAACTGACGCCCGTTGTCGCCGCAAAATCTAAATCGAAATCATCTTCTGTTAGAGCATCACCATTATGCGCAAAACCTTTGTAATCCGCGGCCTTGTTTGAAAATATAAGCAAGCGCTTACTGTCATTGATCAACGATTCTACAGTCGGCCAAGGCTCTGATACATCTGGGTGGCCATAACAACAGTACGCCATGAGCCCAGCAGCAGATAGCGCCTTGATCACATCGTAGGAGGCCACGTACTGTTCCAGAATGAGGACGATCAGTTCACGTGGATTATCATCCAAGAACTCTTTGACACCAGAGAGCGCATCAACAAACCTTGAATTTCCCAGGCCGCAAAAACCGTGACAGAGGTACACCACGCCAGGTCTGGCCAGGTCATCGCTGCTTGCGTTCGAAGGCCACCGATAGTGCAGATCGAACATGAGCCCCCTCACGCCTGCAGACAGAGACTTGCGCCAATCGATCAAGTTGTTTGGGAAATTCCACAGCAAGTCCGCCGAGGACATTGCATTGTGGACCGTGGCAAACGCTACCTGGGCGGCAGAAAGAAACGATGACAGAGAGACCTTGCGCCACGGCTTACGCGGGCCGCCAACGCGGCAGGCTACATTGGAAACGAGGGCGCGAACGCGCGACCGTACGCGGGAAACCGACGCGCAAACGTCGGCAGAATCGAGCCCGTTCCGCTGCGCCGCTCACCTGGTCGACCCGCTTACCGCAGGTGGCCTCCTGCAGGTTGCAGCACGTCGGGCAAGACTGCAAAATGGGGGTCTCCGCCACCACGGGCGCCGTGAAATCGCAACCATCAACCTCGTAGCACTGGTCGCTCGGCTGGTGCGAGATGACGACCACGGAGACGACTCCGGCTGTGAACAGGGCGAGCGCACACGCCACGACCAACCAATGGCACCATCTGAACCGCAGCCACCACGCCTTGAGGTGCTTGAAGTCCGCTGGCCTCTTGGGGTCTCAGGACGTGTGGGCTTCTTCCCCGCCATGTAACTTCTCCGCTGGGCCCCAAATTGCGCAGTGGACCCTGGGATTCGACGTCGCGAAAGAATCCCACCAGCCCTTTAGGCTAAGGTGGTCTAGCGAGTTCTTCCTTTCCTCTTCCAAGAACCCCCTCCCTTCGGGGAGGGGTCCCCTTTCCCTTCCCTCCCGAAGATTTTTGGAAGTTTCGCGATCGGTCAGGGCGCCCAAGCTGGCCCTAGATGGCTCTAAGAGGGCCTCCGATGCTCCAAGATGGCCTCCAAGGCGGCTCAAGACAGCCGAAGATATTTCAAGATAGCTCCCGACATGCCCTCAAGAGGCCCGTCGAGGGCCACAGGACGGTCCCAAGTGCTCTCGGAACCTCCCCCAGGACCCCCTCCCAAGAGGCCAAGATCATGGAAACTTTTAAGAATTAATGCGAATTTCGGACTTCTCGCCTTGCCGCATCCGGTGCGCTCTTGAGGCCTCAAGATGGCCCGAGAGAACCCCAAATGGGGGCTCAAGAGGCTCCCAAAACGGCCCCTAGACCGTCCAAGATCGGCCCAAGAGCGCCCCCAAACCGCCCTAAGAGCCGATTCTGATGGCCCCTGGGCGGGGGGTGGGAACATCGGGGACCCCCCCTCCTTTGATCGATAGCCTCCAAAATTGCGTCAAGAGGCCCTCCAGGGCCCCCAAAGAGGGCCCCGAGACCTCCCAATAAAGCCCCCAGAGGACCCCAAGATCTTCGCAAAAACGTTCCAAGAGGCTGCAAGAGGCGATTTTGACGGCTCTGTCCTCGTCCTTGTTGTCCTCCTCCTCCTCCTCCTCGGCCTCGTCCTCGTTCTCACCCTCATCGTATGAATTTTCCTTTTCCTCCTCCTCTTCGTCGTCGTCGTCGTGGTCGTGGTCGTGGTCGTGGTCGTGGTCGTGGCCGTGGTCGTGGTCGTGGTCCTCGTCCTCGTCCTCGTCGTCGTCGTCGTCGTCGTCGCCTGGCTTGCCTCTGCGGTTGGGCTCGGGGCCCGGCGCGCGGCGGCCGCCGCCCGCTCTGCCAGCGGCAGCCCTGCGCTGTCCTTGTGCTGGACTCGCCGCCGCGCGCCTGGGCACGGGAGTCCTCAGGGCTGGTCGAGCAGCCGGCTTTGCACCAGAGGGCCTCGAGGGCCTCCTGCGTGGCTCCGGGCGGCCTCCCGCTGCGCGCCCTGCGCCGCCGGGCACGAGCGGCATGCCGAATCGTCTCGGCACCACGAGCCTGGGCAGGTCGGCCGGCGGACCCAGCTCGGTGCCGACAGGCACGGAGCACCCGCCGGGTCCCGCTGCGGGCGCCGCGGGCCGAGCTGGCACCCCGAGGCGCGGCTCGCGGATCTCTAGGCCGCCTCCGTCGCGGGTGCTGCTGGCCGCCATCTTGGCCTCGGCGACCACGCGCAGCAGGCTCCGGGTCTGGGCTGCGAGCTCTGCGAGCAGCTCGGCCAGGCCGAACAGGCTGCGGATGCACTCGAGCCAATCCGCAGCCACCGGACGGATCTGGACCCAAGCGGCCTCGGGTAGCGCGCGCGGGCCATGGCGGCAAGCACTCCGCGGTCGAAGTCCGACATGCGCTTCGGCGATTTTTTCCGGCTCCGCGTGGAAGGTCCACGCGTGGGTCGGTGCGCAGGCCTTGACGATGCCCCCCGGCCGTGTGTGCGGGAAAAAAGCCCGCCAGAGGGCCACGCTGAGGGCCCCCCCCCGTCCATCAAGCAATGCACGGTGCTCTGCGCAGGTCGGCTCTGGTAGGTACGTGTCCCATGGGTCGCAGCGGCCGGCGGGCCCGAATCGTGAGGTGACGGCCTCGGTGTTGAGCCGCCTGTAGGACGGGACGCCCCAGGAGATGTCCGCCAGGCCCTGCCCTTGGAAGGCGTCCCGCATGGCGCTGGCGGCGCTGGGTCGCCCAGCGATTTCGCCAGGCGCATGACCGCGAAACTTGGCCTCGTGACGATCCCCGAAGTCCACTCGAGCAACTTCTTCGAGGCGCTCGGGTGGCTCGTGTGCAACATATCATCGCCAAGCGGGTGGCCGTCGCCGGCACGTCGGCAACCTCCGGCATGCTTCGAGCGCGCCCTGAAGCGTGTGGCACACTGCAGGGAGGTGCATGTCATGTGCGCTCTGCGCACAAGCGGCACCAGGTTTGCCGCCTGCAGGCGTGTTCGCCGCACAGCTCGAAGGAGAACCCCGCGATCACCGCTACGCTCAGCGGCATGGATCCGTCGATCCCGAGGGCAGCGACGGTGGCGGCGACGAGCTCCTCGAGAGTGACCGCGGGCAGGCCCGCGGCCACACCGCGGGTGCGCGAGGCTGTGAGGCCCGCCAGGGTGGCTTCGCACACCATGTGCCGGCCCTGCGCGTCCATCTTCGCGCCGCGCCACCTGGGCGCCGGCGGCGTCGGGCGCAGGTGCCAGAGGCTGGCGGAAGGGGGGTGCGCCGAGGCAAGGAATGGAAGAGGTGGCGGCCGTGCCCCCGGCCAGGCGGGGGGACCCCTTGACCCCTGAGTCCTCCCCGTTTGACCCCTGATTCCTCCCCCTTGACTGCTTTTCCTCCTCCTTCTCCTCCTCCTCCTCCTCCTCCTCCTCCTCCTCCCTGTCGTCCTCCTTCTGCCCCTCTCTCGTCCGGATGCGAGCCTTCAGACTCGGCAGATGTAACATGAGCCGTCGGTATCACCGAACCAAACGTCTAAAGGGTGGGCGGATGTGGCGGTAACCTGTACAATCTTTGTGACTTGTTCTTTTGTTTACTTTAAAGGCGCTGGCAGACGAAGGGTTCTCATCAGCCAGCGTCCGCGTTACCATACGCTGGCGATCGGTGATATGCGCGCTGTACACGCAGTGGAATAGAGTTGCAATGCCCAATACGATGCGGAGCACACAGAAAGGGAGAATCACTGCCACAGCCAATGCGCTCTGAGACATCCCTGCCATCACCTCCAGTGTGCACGCATCGAACTTGTCCACGGGCTCGTCGACGTAGAGCCGGCCAGCGAAGAACTTGTAGTTCTCGGCGCGGTGGCACCTGCCGCCGCTGGGACACCAGCAAAGGCCGTAGGTCCCGCTCTCGAGCGTAGTCTGGAAGTGGTGCCGGCGGCCGAACGAGGTCGTCTTCGTCGACTGAGCGTCGAAGGAGGCACCCTCCGCCTGAGGGCAGCTGGCCCCGTCCCTGACCAGGCCCAGCCGGTCACCATCGGACAGGCCCTGGCCTGTTGAACATCGATTGAACGATCCCTATTCCCTCGGGCGTGTCCTCGGACCCACTGGCCGACTCACCCACCTGGGTGGGGACATGTGTCCGTTCCTTCGGATTTCGCGCGCCCTGTCCCCGCCTGGGGTGGGCTGGCGGGGCTGAGATACGACGGCCCGGTGGGGATGGGAATAGGTCAGACGATGCTCGCCTGTGACGTCCAGGTTCCACCCGTCGGCGGACTCCGTCGCCGCACGGGTCGTCGTGAGCGCCGTCTGGGCGGTGGGCCCTACGGCCGAGGGGTCGTAGCGGACTTTCTGGATGCACTCCAGCTGCCGGTTGACGGTGTCCGCCGCGGAGTAGGCGAGGCACCCCGTGGCAGCCGCCGCTGCGAGCACGCCAGCCGCGCGGAGAGCCTTGTTGCGGCAGGCGCCCAGCTCTCTCCACGCTCCTGCGTAGCCCAGCGCCGACGAGGCAATGAGCAAGAAGGCTCCTGCTTCCACCCACTGCCATGTCGGGCTGAGGTGTGACTCCAAGAACAGGAACATACCACCAGCCGTGCAGAGCACCGTGGTCGTCACAGTGTTCAGCAGCAGCAATCCATCGAGGAAGCGAAGTCTATCCCAGCAGTGCGTCTTTACTCTATGGGCATGGTAGCGGTTGCCGACGGTCGCCTTACGCAGCCTGACGGATACACGGTAACAAATTTTGAATCGAAACCAACGCCGTGCCACTCTATCGTGGTAGATTTTGTGAGGACGCAGTAATACATACACTGTAATCCTGGCGAATATGGACCAAAGTAGTAGCAACGCCGCAAGTACGTATTCCACGTAGACGACGCCCCTGCTATATGGAAGTATCCGCCGCCATGCCTGCTGGCACGCCGAATCGTGGTAGAATGCCAATGTCTGTCTGGCAGGGTTGCTGTACAGTCGGGGCGTTGACCTAAGGAACCCTAAATAAGGAACGAGGCCACTTTTTCCCATAAGTTAACCTTCGATTTCCTGTCGAAGACATAAGGAAAGCTTGAGGCAAGCTGTGAAACACTTAAGAATCGCGGAGCCCCTCCCCAACGAAAAGGGTTCCTTCTTCAGGGCCCCGACTGTAATCTTGTAAGGGCTCCCCCTCTCATCACGGAGTGCTGCGTGCATCGCCCTCGCAACCGAAGCCGTGTTCCCTCTGAAACAGAACACAGCAACACTGGATCCAGGATCCAAAACGATGGATCCGCGCTCCCGAGGCCTCGACCCCCAGAGCAAGTAATAGATGTAGCATCCCGCAATTGCGGATAATTAAGAGTGAAGGGGGCGGGCGCGGGGTGGGACGCGGGTGGGTCGCGGGTGGGTGGAGGGTGGGTCGCGGGTGGGTCGCAGGTAGGTCGCGGGTGGGTCGCGGGTGGGTCGCGGGTGGGTCGCGGGGTGGGTCGCGGGTGGGTCGCGGGTGGGTCGTGGGGTGTGTCACGGATGGGTCACAAGTGGTTCGCGGGTGGTTCGCGGGTGGGTCGCAGGTGGGTCGCGGTCCGGGTCGCGGGCCGGGTCGCGGGCGGGACGACGACGACGACGCCGACGACGACGACAACGACAACAACAACAACAACAATCACAACAACGACAACAGCAACATCAGCACCACCAACACCACCAACAACACCAACAACACCAACAACAACAACAACCACGACGACAGCAACACCAACAGCACCACCACCACCACCAACATCATCATCATCATCATCATCATCATCATCATCATCATCATCATCATCATCATCATCAAGAGCAACAACCAACCACAACAACAACACTAACAACACCAAGACCAACAAACACAACAACAACAACAGCAGCAACAACAACAACACCAGCGAAATCAAGACCAACACCAACACCAACGCCACCAGCAACAACAGCAATACCAACAACACAACAACACTAACAACAATCATTTTAAGACTGTTCGCTCCTATCTGCCGGCGGGCCATTCAACACGTATGTCCCAAACCCTCGATACCCTTCGATCGTACCCCCTTGGGGGTATATACCTTTCTTACCTGCAACGTGTATTCTATGCAACCCCTAAGGCAGGGGAAGAGAGGACGGAAGGAAGGAGGGGACAAAGGGGAGGGAGGAGGATTGAGCACGAGAGAAACAGGAGGCGGGCTAGGAGCAGAAACCACGTAGCATAACCAGACAGGCAGATCGGGAGGGCAGACTCTCACGGGCGGGTCGGGAAGGCGGGCCCAGGCGGCCAGGCCGAGCAGGCGGGTTGCTGAAGCGTGCGTCCTGCATGAATCGCGAGGACGAGCGATAGCGCGGTTCCCAAACCAATCTCGAGGAAATCCACAGCGAGAGCGTGGTTCCCGAGTGGGCACCCCGTGGGGTCGCGAGCACGCGGGCTCCCCTCGGGACCGCGCGTGGGCCCCCGAGGAGGACCTTGTGCTGCGCTGTGTTGCGCTGTTCCCTCCCCCCTCCCCCCCCCCACCCCCAGGGGCGCCAGCCCCGCCTATATCAGCAACGGCAGCAACAACAATCACAACACCACCACCACCAACAACCACAACCAGCACCATCAGCAACAACACTGACAATAACAACAACACGAGCACCACCACCACCACTACCACCACCACCAACAACAACAGCAACAACCATCAACAACAGCACCACCAACAATAACACAGCCAACAACAACAGCATCAGCAATAGCAACAGCAGCAGCAACAACACTTGCAACACCATCAACAACAACAGCAACAACAGCCAACATCCGTACAGCGGATGCCCACTTTAGCCACGCACCAAGGACAGTGAATGCCTGTGCAATCCCCTCACTCTGATCTGCGCTCCCTACCTTTCAGGTCGGCTGAGGCAGGCAGCCGAGGCCGCCAAGATGGCCCAACATGCTTCGAAAACTGCCCAATATGGCCTCAAGGAGGCCAATACCGTAGACGGCCCAAGAGGGCCACACGAGCCCAAGTAGAGCCCGACGACGCCCAGATCATGGATCACCATTAGTTTTCCAAAGACTCAGGCGTCTTCACTTTTCGGGCCTCCTGCAACTTCAGGCGGCCCTGGCGGCCTCCACACGGCCCTCAGATTGCACAATCATCTTCCAAGACGGCTTCAAGACAGCACGAGAGGACGCCTAGGCAGCCCAGCACGGCCTCAAGGGAGCCCCAAGCTGGCCCCAGAGGGCCTCTGCCGAGTCCCAAGACGGCCTGGCAGAGAGCCCCTCGGCGGCCCGAAGACGGCCCCACAACGGCCGCAAGGTATCTCCCAGACGGCCAAGAGGGCCCCAAGACGGCCCATGAGAATGTCAAGACGGTTCAGTGTGGCCCAAGGAACCCGCAAGACTGCTCCCCCACAGATGAGCCCCATAAAAGAACGTAAGAAAGGGAGGAAGCCGACGAAGACGAGACGAGAGACCCCGAGACGACGCAGAATATTGAGTCACATGGTACGGCTCTCCGAAGCCACGGGGCACGAGGTGTCACACGCGACGGCCTCCTGTCCCCCCTCGAACAGACATCATCCAAGGTGCTGGGCTGGCACGGTGGCGGGACTTGCCGCAGGCCGGTAGATGTCGTGGTCCAGCAGTCGCTGCATGACGCTCAGGAATGGGCTGATCTGCTTGCATTGCACAGAATCGGCTAGTACTTGTGCAGTAAGCACACCTCCCTCGAGGGCCTCAGCAAACTGCTCCATGGTAACACCCTCGAGGAGATCCAAGCCGAACTCCTCTGTACGAGCGTCCTTCTGAGACATCCAGTGACGCAGCGACCCCAACTGCACCTCTACCTCGTTGGCAAATCTCTCCACGTCTTCACCTGGCGGGGCGTGGAAACCCTGAACCAAAAAATCTTGCCATCTCTTTGGGAACCGATTTTTACTCCCGCCCGCTTCCGCCGGCGGAGGCGGCCCCGTTTTACTTCCGCCTTCCTCCGCCAACCTTCCGCCGAGGAAGAGATGCCAACTCCTTCAATCCCTCGAAAGTAAAGGCCCTTTCTGGAGCGCGCCACCTGTTATGACAGACCCGTCAGAGAATTCGACCAGCAGCGCCGAGCCCAAGCTCCCCAGGACGGCCTGCAGCGGCGCGAGCAGCGCATTGACCGGGATTGTGGCCGCCTGCAGGCTGTCGGAACAGCTGGAGAGCAAGGTGACGGCCAAGGGCTGCACTCCCCCAGCCGGCATGGAGACGACGCCGTCGACGCTGAGGTAGGTGTTGTAGGTCTCGAGCCACAGCCTTTGGAGAGAGTTGCCATTAACCTTGCCATGCATTCAACAAAGTCGTGATTGTTTTCTACGGTGTCAGCAACGAGGTGTCAACAGTGAAATCCGCCGATCCGGCGTGTGAGTTTCTGAGAGCGTGGGCTTGAGCTTGCTCGAACTTCGCTCTGGCGAGGGGGGGGGGCTGACGCGGGCTGACGTGGACTGACGGGTTTCGGTGCTCGGGGGGGGGGGGCTCGGGGGAAGGGGAGCGGGCTTCGCTCTGGCGAGGGGGGGGGGAGGGGCGCGTGTCGGTGCTCGAGGGAGGGGGTGGTGGGGGTGGGGGTGGGGGGGGGTGGGCTTCGCTCTGGCGAAGGGGGGGGGGGGGGGGCAACGCGGGCTGACGCGGGCTGACGTGAGCTGACGCGTTTCGGTGCTCGGGGGCTCGGGAGGGACAGGGGGAGTACTCGGGACGAGGGGGGGGGGGCCTGACGCGGGCTGACGTGGGCTGACGCGTTTCGGTGCTCGGGGAGGGGGGGGTGCTCGGGGGAGGGGGCGGCGGAGCTCTGGCGAGGGGGGGGGCTGACGCGGGCTGACGTGGGCTGACGCGTTTCGGTGCTCGGGGGGGGGGGGTGCTCGGGGGAAAGGGGGGGGCTTCGCTCTGGCGAGGGGGGGGGGGGGACGCGTTTCGGTGCTCGGGGGGGGTGTGGGGGTGGGGGGGGGGCTTCGCTCTGCCGAGGGGGGGGGATCGACGCGGGCTGACGTGGGCTGACGTGAGCTGACGCGTTTCGGTGGTCGGGGAGGGGGGGGGGCGCTCGGGAAAGGAAGGGGGAGTGCTCGGGGGGGAAGGGGGGGAGGGTGGGCTGACGCGGGCTGACGTGGGCTGACGCGTTTCGGTGCTCGGGCGAAGGGGGTGCTCGGGGGGGGAAGGGGCTCGGGAGGGGTAGGGGGGGAGGGGCGAGCTTCGCTCTGGCGAGGGGAGGGGGAGGGCTGACGCAGGCTCACGTGGGGGGAGAGGCCCTCCAGTGCCCCGACGCCCAGGCGCGGCGACCAGACGGCATCACACAACCACGGCGCCGCCATGCCGCCACGCTGGCGGCTGCGTCCTCTGCCCGGGGCCTCTCCCTGGGCCTCGGGTGGGCCCCGAACCGGCCCCAGGGAGGGTCGCGACTGGGGAGTTTCCGACCGGGGAGGATCGCCACTGAGAGAGGATGGGGGTCGCGACCGAGGGGCGGGGGGCGAGACCGGAGAGGAATCGAGACCGGGGGAGGCTCGCTATGCGGGGGACGCTCGCCATGCGGGGGAAACCGTCTCCTGCTGTCCTCCCTCCTGCGTCCATTTTTTTTCTTCTTCAAATCGTTTTGAACCAAAATTACGCTACCGAGGAACCCCACATACTTAATTTAAATCTTATGTGTTTGCTTGAGTTTATAATCTATGCGCAATTCTGCGTTCTGAGCCCTCGTCGCGAATGTTCCCCTATGTGTCATCCAACGCCATATTGCTTGAACCTCCTCCCTCTTCCTAGACTTCTATCCTCCATCGAGGACAGATTCGAGCCAGCCAGCGGCCGCGGTGAGGGACCACCCCCTGCGCACCCTCTATGGTGTCGAGAAAGTGCCCCCTGCGCACCCTCTATGGTGTCGAGAAAATGCCGCGCCTGCTTTGCCCTGGACGACCGTCGTGCATAGCGGCCGCGCTGAGGGACCACCCTCTGCGCACCCCCTGTGGTGTTGAGAAAGTGCCACTCCTGCCACGATCTGCGAGCGTGTCACATAGAGGCCGCGCTGAGGGACCACCCTCTGCGCACCCCCTGTGGTGTCGAGAAAATGCCACTGCTGCCACGATCTGCGAGCGTGTCACGGATAGAGGCCGCGCTGAGGGACCACTCTCTGCGCACCCCCTGTGGTGTCGAGAAAATGCCACTCCTGCCACGATCTGCGAACGTGTCACGGATAGAGGCCGCGCTGAGGGACCACCCTCTGCGCACCCCCTGTGGTGTCGAGAAAGTGCCACTCCTGCCACGATCTGGGAGCGTGTCACGGATAGAGGCCGCGCTGAGGGACCACCCCCTGCGCACCCCCTTTGGTGTCGAGAAAGTGCCACTCCTGCCACGATCTGCGAGCGTGTCACGGATAGAGGCCGCGCTGAGGGACCACCCTCTGCGCACCCCTGTGGTGTCGAGAAAGTGCCACTCCTGCCACGATCTGCGAGCGTGTCACGGATAGAGGCCGCGCTGAGGGACCACCCTCTGCGCACCCCCTGTGGTGTCGAGAAAGTGCCACTCCTGCCACGATCTGCGAGCGTGTCACGGATAGAGGCCGCGCTGAGGGACCACCCTCTGCGCACCCCCTGTGGTGTCGAGAAAGTGCCACTCCTGCCACGATCTGCGAGCGTGTCACGGATAGAGGCCGCGCTGAGGGACCACCCTCTGCACCCCCCTGTCGACACGGAAACTGCCACTCCTGCCACTCCTGCCACGATCTGCGAGCGTGCGGATAGAGGCCGCTGACCACCCTCTGCGCACGAGAAAGTGCCACTCCTATCTGCGAGCGTGTCACGGATAGAGGCCGCACTGAGGGACCACCCTCTGCGCACCCCCATGTGATGTCGAGAATGTGCCGCGCCTGCCACGCCCTGCGAGCGTGTCACGGATAGAGGCCCCGCTGAGGGACCACCCTCTGCGCCCCCCCAGTGGTGTCGAGAAAGTGCCGCGCCTGCCACGCCCTGCGAGCGTGTCACGGATAGCGGCCGCGCTCAGGGGCCACCCCCTGCGCACCCCCTGTGGTGTCGAGAAAGTGCCACGCCTGCTGTGCCTGGACGACTGTCGTGCATAGCGGCCGCGGTGAGAGACCACCCCCTGCGCACCCCCTATGGTGTCGAGGAAGTGCCACGCCTGCCACGCCCTGCGAGCGTGTCACGGATAGAGGCCCCGCTGAGGGACCACCCTTTGCGCCCCCCCAGTGGTGTCGAGAAAGTGCCGCGCCTGCCACGCCCTGCGAGCGTGTCACGGATAGAGGCCCCGCTGAGGGACCACCCTCTGCGCACCCCCTATGGTGTCGAGGAAGTGCCACGCCTGCTCGCCTGCCGCATGGCTTGCCGTGTGTATGTGTATGATGCGTGTGCGGCCATATCGGGACATATCTCACGTGTTGCCCAGTATGTCGTGCAGACGTCTTGGGTGTATGATGCAGTGAACATGCGTCTTGTATGTGCGAATGTGTGTGTGTGGTGTGGTGTGTGTACGAGCGAGAAGGAGGAGGTGAGGTGGGAACGCAGGTGTGACGCGGGTGTAGAGAAGGGGAGGTGAGTGAACGCGGGTGCGACGCGGGTGTAGAGAAAATCAGAACCCCACTTAGAATGTGGGGAAAAACACCTAACTCCTGTCCCTTTTTTTGAGCTGTCTCCCCCCGGGCACCCACGGAGGGAGGAACAAGATGGGGACGAGGACTACCAGGAAGGAAAAGATGACGGTGACGAGGGAAGAGGAAGAGGAGGAGGAGGAGGAGGAGGAGGAGGAGGAGGAGGAGGAGGAGGAGGAGGAGGAGGAGGAGGAGGAGGAGGAGGAGGAGGAGGAGGAGGAACAGAGACGCGCTGGGCTGCCTCCGACAGCAGCGGAATCGCCCCGGATCGGCGGCACTGGCCGGAGGCCACTACAATATCAACGACGCGGCGTCGTTGACCCAATGTCAACAAGAGTCGTGCCAACAATGTAGTATCAATTAAGGATGGTCATCAACGCAATGTCGATGACGTGAACCTGTTTCAAGGTTAAGACCTAGTTTAAACCTCTATTTCAAGGTCAAGAGTGCCCGTGGCCTGTGGAAGAAAGCGCTCATCCCTAGAGACCACAAGACCAGCGCCAACGACACGATGCTCAACCACGAAGACTTGTGCAGGAAAGCTGGGGACCGGCGCACCAGGCCAGCGGCGCCGTAGGACAGGGCGACCACCACAAAAAGAAGGCTCGTGAAGACGAGGGTGAGCCTTACCAGGACGATGGTCGCCAACAAGTCCACCCCGAGCTGGGTGTACCCGCGCACCTCTAGGCCTCCCACGCGAGGACATGCTCGCGTCGTACGTCGTTCTCGGTCCCAGGGGCCCCTCTCAAGGCCCTGGGGCCCTCAGAAAACGCCCTGGGATGAAAACTGCTTCCAGAGAAGGGGTCGGGACTTCCAGGGACCCCGTCCTGAAAAAATCAAAATATCGCATGCCTGGGGATGGGGTTGGAGGATCGCGCCGCATCGCCGATGCACCTGTAATGCAGCTCGATGTGGAGTCCGACTTTCTCCATGCCGACGACGCCGATGCACCGCCGATACATCGGGGACGCATTGGCGATGCGGACCGATCCTCCGGCCCCATCTACTCGGACTCCACTTGGGAGGCGTTCAACACCTGGGACTCGTACTCCAAGATGGCGTCAAGGACACTCGAGTCCGGGGGAGAGCCGTATCCAGCACTCTCCAAGGCCGAGGAGACCCTGAGCAGCTTCCCTGTGCCCGTCACAACGATGAGCAGGTCGTCCAGGATGGTCTGGACGAAGTGGCCAAACGTGTGGAAGAGGTCGGTCACACCCCAACTGTACGACGAGATCATGATCCAGTCCGCAAAAACGAATGCGAATGGGAGGATCAAAAACCCCGTGCCCGCCACCCGCAGGAAGAACCCAACTTCGTAGCGAAACCCTTGCTGGTAATGACACAGCGTAGGCGCAAACCAGAACATACTGATGATTGTTTTCGGAATGAAGATCGCGATTATACCGAATGCGCTGCACATAGGTAGTGCTGCTGTTGAGAAGATATGTTTTTTCAGCGCCGTCATGGGGCCACCGCAATAATCTGGCTTTCCCTGGCAGTCAAAGAAAGCTTCGACGACTGACATATTTTCGATGTAATCCACTGCCAAGAATGCCAAGGCCGCCATCACGACGGCTGCAATCACCAACGGGACGACCTGCCGTACAATCCGACGGGCATCCACAACCCAGCCGGCCACCACTGTAATCTGCATGCGGGCATCTTCGGAGTATCCATCGGCGACGAAATATATGCGCTCTCCCTTTGTGTATTGGGCTATCTTGACTTTGCAGTCACGCTCGCCACCTTTAACGATTTGTACCCCATCCTCCTTCACGTTTGCTTCAGGGTTGAACTCCCGATCTGTTTCAAGGAGCTGCAAAGGCTTCGTTTCGCTGCGCCACGAAAAATGAACCACCTCGCCAGCCAAAACCCGAAGCCGAGGCGGGTCAAACGTTCGCTTGCCGTTGCCGTCGATGTGCAGGCGCACAAAGTGGCTGGCGTAGGTGTCGCCACAATCTTCAACGTCTGGGGGCGGTTCCGCGTCTGCTTCCTCAATGTCGCTGCTTCCCTCGATCATCTTGCCGCGGGTTGCCATCTTCACTGCCATGACGCCCTTGTTACCAACAAGGAAGCGGGTTCTCAGGGAAACGGGTCCTGGACCCGGGGCCCCCCCGAGGGACCAGCTTTGCACCCTGAGTCTGTTTTTGACATTCCTGGGCCCGTGGTGGGCCCGCAGGAGGCCCAAAGCGGCGAAGAGCCTCGGGACCCTTTTCTCTCTCTCTCTCTCTCTCGCTCTCTTAAGACCCGCTTGCTTCATGGATGGTGGCCTTGACGTACAGATTGTCGCTGGTGAAGAGGGCGGTCCCTGGCTGGCGTCGCCGGAAGGCGTGCTTGCACGCCTTGAGGGGAACAAATAACGGCATAAACGTGATCTAGCGCGCCAGTGGCGGCGCTGGATGCGCCGCCAGGGGGGCCCAAGCGCCGGTCCTAGAAATCCGCGCAGAGCTCCGAACATCCATGTTTGTGCAAATCGTCGACGTCATGATTTTTCCACATCGTGGACCCTCAGAAGTCTCGACCACTCCCAGGAGCCAGTTTTTCATCTTGATCCGTTTATTGACCGTCCCAGGGCCTGGGGAGGGCCGAAAGAAGCTGAAAATAACTGCAAACCTCCCTTCGCGTTTGTTTCGCGATTCGAAGCGGTCTGCGTTTTCTTCCTCGAACGCCTTGCCGGGCACGAGGCAGCGCTTCGGCACCATGAGCGGCTCCTCGCTGCGACCGTCCTCGCGCCTCTCGAACACGACCGCCGTGCGGTCCGGCAGCGCCTGCCCGCGCCCCAGGCCCCCGTCGTGGGCTGGTGGTGCGTCTGGCGGGCTCACGTCGTCGCGGTGACGCCGGCATTGGCTTCTCGGAGGGAGGCCCTCCGAGACCCTGAGATCCTGGCGTCGCAGTCTTTTCACAGCGGGCAGCTTTGCCTCGCTTCGGCCCTCACGCATCGAGCCGGCTCGAGAACTTGCGCAGAAGGATGGGGTCCGTGGGAAAAAACACACACACACACGTGTCTGTGGGAAAAAACACACACACACACACACGAGTGCTTCCTTCGACGAGTGCTTCCTTGACGATGTTGTAGTCGAGTGTTTCCTGGACGATGCTGTATTTTTTTGTCGCGACGTCGGATGTCAGGGAGCAGCGACGGCCCTCCCTGGCGTCATCTTGGTCTCTGGGGGGCTCCTCGTCGCCACGACGGGATCCTCCTCGGAAAGCGGGGCAGGATGGGCTGGTCCGACTTGGGCTGGGCGGGAGAGCCGCCGTGGTCTCGAGGGGCCCTCCCCTGGAGTCCGACGTAGCGAAACGAAGCGACCGCAACATGTTAAACATAACTCGACAGGAGCCCCTCCAGGAGGATTTTGGGCGAAACATTAAACAAATACTCAAACGATACCCCCCAAATGGGCAAACGTAGTTAAGAAATCGCCCCCAGACTATTTCTTTATTCCATTTTTGAATTTTCCTCCTGTAGAGGGACACGCCCGACTTAACCCTGGGCCGGAAACGAAGCAAAACCGCCCGTTGCGGCAAGAACGCGATGCCAGGATCTCAGGGTCGGCCCAACTCAACAGGCTTTCGGGTCATACCTCGGCACGACCTGAGCGCCCCCAGAGGAGAAACCCTCGGCGAGGCGCAGCAGCTGGAACGCACCCTGAGGCTGGGAGGTCGCCGAAGACCGACGGAAACTCCCGAAAACTCCTGGGCAAGGCTCCCCCGTGCTGGGATGTGTGCCCCCCCCCCCCCCCTCCTGGTACGCCCTCATATCCTGGCGGGAACGAGAGGGGGGGATAGCAAAGGGCAGGGTAGAGGATCAGCTCGCGTGGCTGATTCTCCCGGCGCCCCCAGGCGCCAGGAGGCGCCCCCGGCGCCGGGAGGCGCCCAATGCATCGAGGAACGGGCCCGGCGGCGGGGCCGAAACCAGCTGCACGCAGCAGATTTTGTACCCCCCCTTTGCTGCCCGTGCAAGCCTGTGCAACACCGACGGAAACTCCCGAAAACTCCTGGGCAAGCTCCCCCGTGCTGGGATGTGTGCCTCCCCCCCCCTGGTACGCCCTGATGTCTTGCCCTGCCACTCCCAGTTCGCTGCCCGTGCAAGCCCGTGCTCTGCTGCAGGCGTGCTAGGTCTGCACGGTCTGAGCGTGCTCTCCGCCGTCCGCGGCCGCCTCCTCCTTGCGCGTCCCGCTCTCTTGCCTTGTGCGCAATTCGGCGCTGGTGCGTCCCTCGGCTGTCTCGACCGCGCCTTGGACCCACCTCGACGCTGACAAAAAACCCTCCCTGCCCGGCGGCGCCTCCTCCTCCTCCTCCTCCTCCTCGTCCTCCTCCTCGTCCTCATCTATTCCTCCTCCTTATGAATACTTCGTGCACCCCTTTGGTTCAGGCGATATATGTCTCCAGAAATCGTGTTATTACTCACGCAAGGCTCAATATAACCCAGCGATCAACAGTTGTATCGGTCGTATCTAGATGTATGTAGATATAACTCTTGTTGAAATATAACAAGATGTAAGTACATGCTGCACTTATACCACGACTTGTATCGACTTATATTGTAGTTGCGCTTGGGCCCATCAGAGTTACACAACAGTTATAAATCGTTAGCTGAGAGTTATGATTCACGAGAAACGGACGCGAAAAGTTACAAACACAATACGAGAGTTATGAACAAGTTAAGAAAACTTATGGAAAAGTTATGAATTGGCATGCATGCGGGGGCGGAGCCTCCCGTCGAATCGCGTGCTCGACGACTGCAGTGGCGGCAACGTTCGTGGTGGAGGGGGGAATGCCTTAATCGCTGTCGTCGCTGATCGTCTCGGGCCTGTCGGTGTCGTCGTCGATCGTCTCGGGCCTGCCGTCGCTGCTCTCGCTGCTCGTGATCCATTCGGGCCTCGGCGTGCGAATGGGCCAAACGGCGACCGATCGATTGATGAATCGATCGATCGATCGCCGCTCGGCCTTGGAATTCCCCGATGGCCCCGCGAGGCCGCTAAGTTCGAGGCTCCGTCGGCGGAGTCGTCGGCGGCTCCGTATCCGTCGGCGGCTCTGGTAGCGTCGGCCGCGCCCACCGCGCATTAACCCGTGGTGCTACCCGTGCGATCAACCATGGGCCCGCTGGGGGGACCCGCACATAGAAAAAAACCTCCCATACACCTACCGCCACTTCCATCTCGAGCCGATCTCGGGAGGGGGGGGGGAGGAAGGGAGGGGGGGGCAGGGGGGGAGGAGGGAAGGAGGTGGAAGGAGGGGAGGAGGGGGGGAGGGAAGGAAGGAGGGAGGGAAAGAGGAGGGAGGAGAAGGGCACTCTCACATTTCTGCCCTACCAACATAATTAGGATGCAAGGCCCTTGGGCGCCCAAGTTGAGGCCAAAGTCTTCAAGGATACCCTTGGGGGGATACCTTTAGGAGGAGGGGGGATGAAGAGGGCCTTGCAGGGATGACCGACGCATAGCCACGCGCCCATGGCTGGAACGGGCACGAGAAAGGGGAGAGCGAGATAATGTTGTTCTTCCCACTTGCGTTTCTCTAACGCACGGTGTCTGGTTCGCTGCCGAGGGGTCAAGCCACCGTTGCGGGCAACGATCAGAAACGAACCAAAGAGCACAAGCTCATGGCACTGAAACCCTCACCTACGCATAGGTGTTCACCTACCGTTCTGAACGTAGCGCACGACATCCTTCCACGCGAGCTGGGGCTCTTTCTTTTTCCAAGAAAACTGCGCATCGACCACCTGCCCAGCCTTCAGCACCCTCCAGCGCGACGAGCCGAAGGACGTGTAGATCCACGGCCCCCAAGCGCTCGGGCAACCACGGCGCGAGGAGGAGGAGGAGGAGGAGGAGGAGGAGGAGGGGAATATGCAGGCGGACATCGAGGGCCCCCCTGGGGCCTCCGACGTCCGCATCGAGGGCCCCCCTGAGGCCTCCGATGCTCTGCGTCGTCGGTTTAAGCTTTCGGGGGGCGCCCGATTTAAGCTTTCGGGGGTCGCCCAGAAACTGAATCGGAGGGGGAGGGAAAGATGGAGGGGAGTGGGAGGGCAGGAAGAGGCGGACGAGGAGGAGTCTCGGGATGTGGACGGGGGCGGCGGCGACGCTGAAAAACCACCATATTTTGTAGCTCTTGTAGGAGACGGGCGGGGCAGGCCCCGCCGCGCCAGGGAACTTCGAGGACGCCGTCGGGGCGGCCGCCGGCTTGCGCAGGGCGCGGGCACCCCCCTTGCCCTTGCCCTTGCCGCGGGCGCCCCCCTTGCCCTTGGCCTTGCGCTTGCCCTTGCCCGTCGCTGCGGGGCCCGTGTCCTATAGGGTTGCACGCAGGGGGCTGACGGGGCGGGGCGGGGGGGGGGGCGGCCATCGGGCCCAACGGGGGGGGCGCGAAGAAATAGGAACGGGGTGTGATGAACTCGATGGAGGCCCTGCCCTAAGGGGTGGGATGTCAGATGTGACGCGACCCCAATGGGTAGGATGTCAGATGTGACGCGAGTGCACCTAGCTTGCCCCTCCTCCTCTCGTCCCGCCCCCCCGCCGTCTGGCACGTGGAGGCTCTGCCCCGCTTGCCGCGCCACCAGACAAAGGGCGTCGTTTCCGCCCCTGCTGCTGTCGTTGCTGCTTCTCCTCATCCTCCTCCCCCTCCTCATCCGCCCCCCCCTTCCCGCCCCTGCTCCTGGGGCAATCCTAGAGGGGGGGGGGCGCCGCAGTCACGACGAAACTATGTCTCTGCGAGGGCGACCCTTCTCCTAACTTCCTCATCCCTCTTCCCCCCCATCCCCCTCGCCCCAAATCCCACCAGCCCTCTGGGCTTAGGGGGTTCAGGGAGTTTCCTCTTCCATCTTCCCTTCTTCCCCTTCGGGGAGGGGTTTGCCCCTCCCCCTACCCCCCCCCCCTGGACCTGGACGGGGGGGTTCGCTGTTAGTCGGGGGCGTCCAAGATGGCCCAGGATGGCTCCAAGAGGGCCTCGGAGAGCCCAAGATGACCTCCAAGATGGCGCAAGACAACCCAAGACGCCTCAAGATGGCCCCGAGGATGCTCCAAAAGGCCCCAAGACCGCCCCAAAACGACTCCAATTGGCCACGTAGCCTCCCAAGGAGGCCCCCCAAGAGGCCAACATGGCTCCAAAACCTAAGGACAATCAATGTTTTTTGCTTTCTCACCTTTTCGCTTCCGATGGCCATTCGAGGCATCAAAATGGTTCCAATAGGGCCCAAGAGGGCCCCAAGAGGGGCCCAAGATGGCTCCAAGACGGCCCTAAGAGCGCCCACGAGCGCTCCAAGAGCGTCCCAAGAGGGGTCCAAGAGGCGATGTTAGAGGCTCCCGATGGGGGGACGCTAATTGGGGGACGCCCTCCTTTGATCGATCACCTCCAAGATGGCCCCAAGAGCGCTCCCAAGGCTCCCAAGAGCGCCCCAAGAGGGCCTCAAGAGGCGCCCAGGAGGCCCCAAGAGGTCCCCAAGAGGCCCTCACGAGGCTCCCTAGACCCCCAAGAGGCCTCAAGAGGATCCCCGAGAGGCATCCCAGACTCCCAGCGCTCCAAGAGGACTCCAACACAACTTACAAGGGGCATCCTAGGAGGCTCTTGTGCACGGCATTGTTCTTGTTCCTTATCATCTTTCTCCTCCTCCTCCTCCTCCTCCACCTTGTCGGCCTACTCCTCCTCCTTCTCCTCCACATTATCAGCCTCATCCTCCTCCTCCTCCGTTCCTCTTCTCCTCCTCCCCCTCCTCCTCCTCCTCCTCCTCATCCTCCCCCTCCTCCTCATCATCCGCCTATTCTCCCTCCTCCCTCCTCCC